ATAACCTCTGGCTACTCTAATCAGGACCAGTAATTGAATGCTGGGCAGAAATACAATACTGTCCAGTCAACACGGCTGTAAAAGCCTAAATATACAGTTCCAACTTCCCTGATGAGGAAACCCACCTCAGCCGCTCTGCCACAGTGGGAAGAAAGCTTGACAGTGTAAAGAGTAAGGCAATGTGATATCTATGAAATATGTAAAAGTACGGCAAGCTTGATCATTTCTCTGGCTGCATTCATACACAAGTAATCAATGGTGCTTTGTGTAAGGCACTAATAACAAAACGGAAAAAAAAAAAAATCTGACATATTCCCTTTTGTAAATTTTAAAAATCATCACTTTCTCTCATTAGTGAGGAACTTCACTGTTCCCCCAGGGTTTATATTTGTTTGGCTTTCTCTTTTTTCCTCAATATATTTTACTCATAAGTTCAGACAACATCAAAAACCTTTTATTTTGATTATCAGAATAAAAGTTTGGGCTTTTCGTCCTGACGTGAAGATTAGTTTCGATTAAAGTTTATCTTTCAACTCATTTTCTAACGGGGCTCCAATGCAGACACTTTTACACGTTTTCACATTTTTGGCTATATCGACTTCAATGCCATTAAACTGAGTATTGAAATTAATGACAATCTTTAATTGATGCAGAAAGATTGCTCTCAGGTAATTATTAGGTTTTCTGATAAGATTTCTACATGTTTGATGCAAAACATGCAGAACCCTTATTCAATTGTTATTTTAAAGTATACTTACACTTTTTTTTATTTGATTGTTACGCTAACGGCATTTGTTTCATTGTATTCCATTTTTTATTTTTTATTTTACTGAGGTGCAAAGCAGACTTTTGGACCAATTTCTGTTTCTCTTTAACAGGCGGTTTAAAGTGTTATTGTCTTTGAAAAATGCTGAATAAATTCAGACATTTACACTGTTGCACGTGAAAAATCGGACCCCCCGACTTGTTTTCTGGTAAACTGAGATTCAGTCTTATTCCTGTAACGTGGAAACGTGCAGTCTGGTGGTAATGAGGAATAAGTGGCTCTAATTGCATAGTATTGTCAGAACTTCCAGAGTGAAGCCTCTGCTTTGTCTGTCTTCTCAAAGGCACCCTGTATCTGCAGCTCTGACTAAATATAACCTTCGACCTCCATAAAGTCTGGGGCCGTCGTCATCAATAGAGACAGTGTGAGGCTGAACACGGCCCCTTCAGCCGTATCGCCGTCGTGTCCAGCCGCCACTGAATTATGACCCACGTCTCACTGGAGCGCTCCTTGTCCTCTCAAGTTGACCTTTCAGGCAACGCAGAACGCTCTGTCTGCTCTCAGTCGGCAAACAGACGGCAAGAATTTGCAGAAAAGCTTTGACGAACTGCTCCGCGTTTAAGTTGAACTTGAATCCAGCCTTGCTGCACTGATGCACGGTGATAAATGTCAGAAGGAGCAGCACTTAATGACCCCGATTTCAACATGTTTCTCTTCTGCGGCCTCAGGATTTGCTAAGAGAAACAAAGTCTGCCTGATCCCCTCCTTTACGTAATAAATAACCTGCTAACAATTACAAACAGCTCTCGTCTGGGGCTGCCAAGCCCTGCAGCCACAGACACTTCCACTCCTTACGTCCTGACATGTATAGTAACGCAGTGGAGCTCTCCTTTAACTTAAATGTAGTGAAGATCCGTCTTGATATGGCCTCTGGAGCAGCTTAAAGCTCGGTCACATCGAAGGAAAGTTTTACTTGCTCTCATTTTATAGAAATGTGTACCGGCCGATTCCCTAACATGTAGGTTTTCCTTTTTAAATCCTTTGACTGTATTTCTTTGACAGAGTACCAGAATACAGGATATTTCACCATTCTTTGACTTGGGAAGTAAAAACCTCACACCAGTATCAATCAAAGGTTGAAAACATTTTCCTCATGTATTAATAATGGACTCGTGTCACTAGTTTTCATCTGACGTGAAGGTTATGATGACTTTTAGGTTTGTGACAGTATAGACGTACCATATTAACATTGACCGATCATCCAGTAAGGTGGGCTCAAACATGTTTAAAGGAATATTTCCAGTGCTAATATGTAAAATAAGTGCATTTGGAGGAGTCACGGTGAGACTTGAAAACACGAGAACTGTCAAGCATGGTGGTGGCAGCATCATGCCATGGAGTTCTATTACCTTAAATGCTCATTTTATATGATTAATTAGTCCCAGCTTAATCTGTCCTTCATGAATAATCTGAAAATGGTGAAAACAAGATATAGAGTAAGCTTCCCTTGCCGGCTGCCATCAATATTAGCATATCATCTCTAATTAGCTTTATGAGTTTAGCATTCGCATTAGCAAAACGCATGGTGTCAATCCAGTCGCATTTTGTACATTTCTGTATTTTGGCCGTTTGAAATTTGGTAACGACACACGGGCGTTTTCCACAACCACCAGCTGCGAAAACCCAGTGAGCCGGGCTGGCTTTTCATCGAGCTTATGCAACGCAACAGCGAGCACTGCCGCGTGGGAGCATGAGCTGCAGCTCGCGACGTATCCGAGTCGAAACAAACTTTGATCGCGCGCGCTCGGAGAACAGAGGCAGCGGGGCGCAGGATCAGGTGCTGCTAACTGTAAATACTGTTTTCATCAGGATGGCGCTGAGTGACCGGCTCCTCCGTGGGGCTGGGAGTATTTCCAGCATTACAAACCGACGAGCCACAGCTTGCGCTCCCGTCAGGCATCTCTGGAATTTGGTTTCTGCGTCCTGAACCGGTTGTCCACGAGGGTTTTAATATTCCCTCTTCACACTGAAGTGTTTCACTGAAAGGTTCCCGTTCTCGATGAGAGACCTGGTTGCAATACATAAAGAGACTGTCCCCGAAGCCCTCAGCGCGAGGGCTTTGTTCTTCTTGTGCGCTTAAGTTAAGTGGTGATTTTGCAGCTTTGGAGAGGAGTTGCAGTCGCTGATGTCTCTGCTCTGTATTCAACAAAACGTCTTTGATGGAAGTTTGAAACATATATTTTTCAGGAGATGGAAGGAAAAGTGCTCGGTTCGAAAAGCTATTCTCACTTCCAAACCAGCTCATCGGAGCTCTAAGGAGGACGGAATAAACACACACACACACACACACACACAACACTTTTCAATTAGACCATTCGAGGCTGGCATCGCTTTGATCTGTGCACGTGTGCATGAGCGTGTGTGAGTTTTAAGGAGGTGTGTTGCATCTCGGGTGGGGGTGGCCCCTCGTCTGGTCTGGGCCGGGGCTGTAAATCTTGCTGCGTCTCATGGTTTACTCTGGGCCCGTAAACTTGAAGGCAATTACGGAAAAAAAAAAAACAACAACAACAACAACAACCGGGATGCGAGATTTCTTCAGTCCCGCAGGATTTGTGGCCGCAGCCTAAATGGATCGCCGCTCTGTCCGTATACCCAAAACGAACATGGCCTCGCCTCGATCCACCTCGGCTCCGAGCTCAGCTTCCCGTCGAGCATCGATTGACTTCTTGGATGCGTTTCGCACAACGAACAAACTTAGTAAAGAAATGAGACTAAGAATACCACGCCCGACCTTGACCGTGGGGGGTGGATTAGGCTTTTCACGCTCATTATTTATTTACGTGAAATCAAACGCATTGATTCGTGCACACTCAGCAAGATCTGACCCACACTTACTTTTAACACGTCTTACTTGGACACAAAAGGATTTGATAAATCAGCTGCACCAAAAAAGAGGGAGCACTTGTTCTCCCTTAGTGTCGTGCAATATGCTATTATAATAAACATTATCATTGATTATGAGGCTTGGTCTTTATTTTACTGGCTTATTAGTAGCCGGATGCTTCAGCAGAAAGTTTCATATTAGGGAGGAAATGGGACCTCATGCATATAAACATGAGCAGCTTGGGCTGCTTTGATCTGGGCCTGGCTGAGAGCCCTGAATAGAGTGGGCTGGAGTTGCACAGCTCTCTCTCTCTCTCTCTCTCTCTCTCTACTTACCTATTTTAACCATTTACATAATTGCTATAACTGTCCTGGCCAGCAGTGTGAGGTGCTCAATAAAAGTGGATTGTGCTGCAAATGAGAGGAGATCCAAAACAAGAGCTTTGTGTACGAAAGAGCGGAGCAGCTTTAGCTAAGCGAGCGTGTTGTTAGCGTTAGTTTGTGTTCACTGAGCCAAAGTGCCTTCAGGCGGGCGGCAGGACGGTCTGCTCGTTGCTTGGGATGAGCCCACTTATGATCTTTGATGCACAGAGAAAACTGCCTAAGCATCCTTGACCGTCTTTTAGAGGTTCAAGATGAAAGTAATGGCCATAATCTACTCTCTGCTGCTAACAAGTTTCCAAACATCAGAAGGGCTTTTCATTTTCTAATTTTTTTCTTCTTCATCTTTTATGCAGGAAATAAAATATTTGGTTAGATTACGATTCCAGCAAAGCTTCTGAATAAAAGAATCCCTGAAATGCACGTGGTGCTTATTACTGTGTGAAACGACTACATAGCACAGGACACATGGGTGCAAAGTCCAAAGTGACCGCTCGATATTTGAACATTTGCCTCATGTCCTTCTCCCCTGTTCTTGTTCCAAACTTTTCCGCTGTATTTGCTTTGCAAAGATACAGCCTTTAGACTAAGATGCACACTTGCTTTCTGAATCAGAGCATTTTACAGCCTCAAATTGTAAATATTTTTGAACGTAAATCAACATATGTTTGGAAGACAGCGAGAAACTTAAAAGTGCATTTTTCTTACATAAAACGGCTTTTTAAGGCCTATGGATCTCTGAAAGTTTGTAACTGTCTGTATCTGTGAACAGAAAATTTCTTGTTTTGGCGCTGAAAACAACCTTTTTAAGCGGGATTAGGACGAAGCCACTCACTGGCAACACAGACCAAGGATGAGGTGAACATACAGACACCAAGCATAAAGAAAAAGTGGTTGAGCAAATCAAAATAAAAGCTACAGAAGAGACTATAGGTTTCTCCTCAACCTCCAAAAACAATGTCTCTCCACACTTTTTGCCACCAGTATTAGGGAACTAACCCAAGGCTGAGGTCACAGCACAGTTTGCGCCACGGTTGCTCTCTGGGCGTCAACCTGAACGGAGGCCTTTGTTTCCACCCTCAGTCATATTTATAGTCGGAAATAGAGCCGGGTGCCAGTGCGTGTTTTATGGTCTCCGGTAGTTTATGACTGCTGGCGGTGTTGATGCACGGGAACAGAGAGGGTCATAAGGATAAAATCAATAGTGCACCTTAATGAGGTTGACTGAAAAGAAGGGAAGGAGGGGACGTGTGGGTGATCAGAAAGTGAGAGGAATCAGAGGGGTGACGGGAGGAAACAGTGCATGGTGTGTGGGGGGTGAAGAGGCTCTTAGGGCCTTCAGGTGGGTGTTTGAATCGCTTGGCAGCTGGTTTAGTTTCATAAAAATTCTGCAGAAATTGCTCATTGTTCGCTTACATTACAAAATGTTCACACTCAGCTGGAGCTTTTCTGATGCCGGGCTCGTCGTCTTGAGACACACCGAATGGTTTATCGGTGATTTTTTATTTTATTTTTTTCCCCAGAGACTTTAGAAAACTGTGCTTCAGAACTTGATTAAAATGTGGAGTTTATGTCCTTTTGGAGGGAAAAAATTGAGTTGTAGTAACCCAGTTGGATCCGAGTTACGTAACAGATTTGTCATGAAAAAAACAAAACAACAACAACAACATGACCCTGCAGTGCCGCTACCTCACATGATCCTGTGCTCTTTTGATTTGCTTCAAGTAAAGAAAGGCTCGTCAAGCACTGCAGCTACCTCAACCTCGTTTGATAGGAGATATTTTGCATTTATTTGTTCGTCCATCATGGCATTTGCATGGCGGTCAGGATGTGTGGGTTGGTCCTGCTGAGTTGTTGTTGTTGTGCTGTGAGACAGCTGACTGCAGAGACAAACACAGCTGAAGGAAACGCATGTCAGCTCACCTTTGTCCTCCGGGGACAGACGTCCACACATACCGTCGGCGGGGTAAGCAGGGGAGTTTATTTCAGCGGAGAAGGAAGGAATAATGTTTGTTTTGTTGTTATTGTGTGTCGTAACCTTTCAGGTTTCTTTAAAGTGCCTCCACTGCTTTGTGAACTTGCACATTTATCGTGTTTACTACCGTTTACAATCATCACTAGAGCTACAAATGTGGTGAAAGACCGACTAGAGGCATTTATGTCGCAAAATGTTTGTTGGTATTCTGATACATAGATTCAAATAAATTATGGAAAAGAACTGTGCCTTGAATTTACTGTTGCTTGCAGAGTAACACACGTCTAACAAGCTCATATTGGTTTGGCTTCTTAGCAGAGATGGAGCTTAAAGTTTGCCATATATAAATGTGATTGTTGGCACGCCTTAGATTTTCACACTAAAACTGTGTGCTGCACGGCGAAAATCTTCTCCAAAAATGTACATTTATTTTTTTAAGGGAAAGTGTAGCGCCCTCCTTTCAGCCTGCTGACTGGCAGTGCACAACATCAGGTGTGTCCGCTCCATGCAGCCGGACCTTTTATTGTCCCATTGAAGGGACATTTCATGGGACACACCTTGAACATTGCTAATTATTCTCCACAGAAAGTTGTAACTCACATTTTTCTCAACATTTTCTTCAAATCGCTTATATTTTAATCGTTTTCTTTTTTTTTTTTTTTTTTGTCCATCGCTAAAGCTCAATGGTAGCAGTGCCAAGCAAAAACATACAGGCTCCAAAAAGAAACACTGAAAAAGTGCCATTGTTGTTGTAGGCTGCTATGTCCTTATCAGGGATCTGCAGCTTCATGCTCAGGGCTCGTGTGCTGGTTTGACAACTGTCTGCACAAAAGCAAAGGTGAGCAACAGTTTGGAAAGAGGAAAAGATGACTGTAGAGATTTGCCACCTTTAGTAGGAACTAATCCAACAGTTTTCATGGTGCAAGACAAAGAAAAACTGTGAGCTTAGTGACTTAGTGATTAGCAAGCCAAGAAATATTTGTCTGAATTTGGACATGAAGCATGTTCACAAAAAGATTTTTGCACGATAATGTCTGCTAGATTGATTTCGTAAAGTAAGTCCAAATAACACGTGGCAGCCATATTGGATTATAAGATCGTATCTTTAAGGTTATGTTTTAATTCCATTATTTGTGTGTTCATAAACGGGAAATGCAGATTGCTCTTCAATTTATGCATCGGCATGAACTGGAAATTTCCTGAATTCTAAGTATTTGATCTGCTGATCGAACTAAGTCGAAGGCAATCGAGGGGAAAACTGAACGATTTCAATCTCTGGCTGAGAACTTTTCAGAATCTAATAACAGGTTCGTAGTTTTGTCTGAGAAGCTCTTTCCCAAACAGATTTCTGTTTGTCTCTCCTTTACTGATTATAATCTTCTACTGTAGCTCTGTAATGTTCTGAATCATCAAACTCGAGGCATGTAATTTGTTTCCAAAGAAGCCAAGCATGCCTCGGCAGGAGGTTCATGATGCTATCTTTGAACCAAGACATCGTCAAGGTCCAATTGTTCACCTTTGCCAGTCCCACCTACTCTTGTGATCGACCTGTTTTTATCCTCCTTTCGCAGGTCTCTTTACCTCCCCTCAGCCTCTCGTAATCAATGGCAACCTCGGTCCAAACTCTTCCCGTGACGCGTGGTCCCACCCAAAACTTCCGCAGCCCTTTCCCCGCCTCCCCCCTCTCCTCACTCTGCGGCATGGGAAGCGTAGGGAGCCTGGTGGAGAAGCCGGATGTGTCTCCGACTAAAGGTAACCGCGCGGTGCCTCAGGTGAGACCTAGACAAACCAACGGCCTCCTGAAGAAAGGCCTGACCCAGAGAGAGCTACTGAACTACCTCAACATCACCAGGTGGGTTCTGCCGCAGAGCAGCAGGTACCTCTGCGGGACGTTTCGTTGAGATGTCGCCTGACTTCCTGCGCTTCCCAACAGAAAAGAGCCCAAAGCGGGGCCGAGCGGCGACGGCAAGAGGGACGTCATCGGAGGCCTGGTGGAGGATGACGTTTTCGCCAAAGTCTACAGTAAAGATGGCACTGAAATAGACCTGACTAAAAGCTCACTGCCGAGCGGGAGCAAGTACGAAAAGGTGAATGTACGAGAATTTACGCTGTATATTTAAAAAAAAAAAGAATGTCTTTACATGAGCATCAGTTGTGTTACATCATGGAAAACCTAGAACTTTTTCCACGTTTTGTAGAATTACCGCAACAAACACTTCCCATAGAAACACAAAATGTTTCAAATCAATACGGCCATATCTCTAATCAATGATCAAATCAATGATCAAATCAAAGTAGAATATGTTGGTCAGGGTTTTTTTTATTTCATAATAATTATTTTTAATTAGATCTAGTTAGATTTAGATCCAGACTTTAACTGGGCCATGTTATCCCCAGGATAGTATTTAGAGGTATTTTATTAAGGGGGACTGAAGATAAGCGTTATAAATTTTCATTTGTAAAAAAATAAGAGTAAAATTTTTCTTCATCTTTATCGATCACATAAAATACTAATAAATCACACTGCAGCTTACAGTTGCAGTGGGACAACATGTAAACATACTCAAGGCATGAAATTACTTCAGCAAGGTACCGTATTAAACTGTTTTCTGGAAAACGTATGCGTTATTAGATTAGTAATACAAGTTATCAGTTTTACTACAAGTACTCTTTGTACAAATGATTCACAGCCAGTGAAAAGGCTCCTTGGGGTCGTGGTAAATTGATTAGCAACACTTTCATATATTTCCTGCAGTATGATGCAACACCCTCGAATCCTTTTAGGAGCATAAATCAGTCGCAGATGTGATCCGTCTCAGCAGCACCGATTGAAAAATCCGCCACTTGCAAGTGTTCTGAATTTATTGCGGTGATCAGATCTCTCTTCTTCTTTTTTAGGGTTAGGGTAAATTGATCAATGCTGAAAACACAGAGGGTGTAGTAGCATTGATTTCATCAGAACATTGTGACTCATGTTACGTAACCCAGCTATCATTGCTGCTTACGCCTCTTTGTACCTTTGTTTGCCATTTTTTCTTAGGTTCGGTTCAGGTCTTCTGCATTCAAACCCGTCACCCCTAAAAACTTCAGCTCCATGCAAAACCTCTACCCCTCCTCCAAGTCGGAGGACATGGATCACGGCCTTTCTAATGGACTGCACAGAGCGTACGGCCACATCTCCAAGACCGTCTCCACCTCATCTTCATCTTCCTCTCCCCCCCGTCATGGAGGACCGACATCATGTGGTAACAAGGTATCCTGATCCGGCTTTATTAGCTTAGCGTCTTCTGTCGTTAGCTAGAAATTTGCCAAATTAATCACTCGTTAGATGCATGATCCAGGCATGTTGCGCCACGAATTACCTTTTTTATTTTCAAGCATTTCCGTCAAAGGCTGCAATCACGCTCCACATAAGCTGAACCACCGTATAAATTCTGACTTTGCAGGCCGTCTCCTCGGTGCAAGTGATGAGCCACGAGGATGACAACCTGTCAGACTCGGGCCATAACTCCATGAGCAGTCTGCCGCCGTACCGCCCTCCGTTCCGTCCACATCTGTCTCACATCAGGTCGGCCGCTACATCCAATGTCTTCTCCGCTGATCTTTGAGTTCCACAGATGTGGTTTTTCGTTGTTTTTCCTGACTGTGTGGATCGTGAAAAGTAACGAGATTTTAACAGCTTCTGTGGTTTCCTCTCCTTTCCCCAGCGCTTCCATGGGCCACATCAACACCATCGGCTCCTTGGATCGGACCTCTCAGGGCCTGAAGGCCGCCGGGTCGGGGGGCGTGGCTATGGGGGAGGTAGCATGCCGAAGCATGGCCACCCTGAACCGCCTGACCCCCTACGGCAGCGAGGCTCCGCCTCCTTATGAATGGACGCTGTCCCTCTCGGTGGAGGACGTGGTAAGGGATAATGAGCCCAACTTAATGACTGATTTGAAACTTTTGCTTCGTGGTAAAGCCACCAACGTTTAAGACAAATGACCTGTAGTGCTTTATCAAGTCAGAGGCCTCTAAAGCACTTTACACTACATTCACACGCTGCTGGTGGTTAGCTACATTGTAGCCACAGCCGCCTGTAAGCCGCCCCGCTTACAGAACGAACCCCTACCTCCTGAGCTGCTGTAATTTATTTTATAGATTGTGAAGTGAAAGGAAAATGATTTTTACGGATTCTTTTCATAAATATAAGCCTGAAAAGTGTGGCATGCTCAGGTATTTACCCACCTTTAATCTGATAAATCCAAAACAAAATAATTCCTGGAGTTTCTGAAGCAGTGTAATTTAATCTCAGTTCAACTGCAGCTGCTTGGTGAAGATCTCTGAGGTGAATTAGCCAACATTAGGGAACAAACAGGTCAGCGAGAAAGTCGTGTTCAATGCTACGCTTTGGTTATAAAAAACAAGCTTTGCACGTCTTCAGCAGAACTGTTCGGTCCGGTTGTTGGAAAATAGAAAAAGTACAGCACAACTTCAATCGTGACATGACTTGTGAATGAGAGGATTAATCACATACGCAGCCAAGGGACATCATGTGGTAACTATTAGTAACTCCTCAAATCTGTCCTTTCTGGAAAAGTGCCAAAAAAAAAAAAAAAAGCCATTGTGAACAGAAAAATAGGTCATTCTACCACAAACGGTGTAAAAACACAACTTTTCTCCTTTGTGCAAAACACATCTGGTGGAAAAGCAAAGCTTGAACAAATGTTTCCGTACCCTGAGACGTGGCGATGGCTGCCTGGGTTTGTGGAGAAGCTTTTCTTCAGATGGGAGAGGTCAAATATAGAGCAAGTCCTGAAAGAAAACCTCTTAGAGGTCTGCATGGTACGGAGCTTCCCCGTCCGACTGTACAATCGAAGCTTGTTCATGCCTTAGAGTGAATAAATCCAGAATCTGTATGAAGATCTGAAAGTTAATGTTCACAGGTGATCTCTATCTAATCTGACGTACTTTGCAAAAAAGAAATGCGTGAAAATGTCAGATTTTCACACATATGGTCATTTTTTTTTTTTTCTAAGAGACAGAAGATTGTTGTAGTAACATGACAAAATAAGGAAAGGTTCTAGGGGTGTATTTACTTTTGCCAACCTCTGTAAGTTATTGGTGCCACTGCGTCTTCCAGGTGCGGGATCTGGAGGAGCGCCTGGTGGAAAAAGAACACGAACTGAAACAGATGAGGAGGAACCTGGACGAGAGCGAGGGCGCCATCGCTCAGGTGAATCTCATTTTCGATCTGAACGTCACTTCATTTTTTTAAAACATTTTCATCTTTATTTTCCGTCCGCGCTGACCCCATCTGCTTGCCACCTGCAGGTGTTCGAAGGGAAGCAGCGTCTGTGGGAGAAGGAGGTGGAGGAGCTGAAGCGCCTGTACGCTGCCAAGCTACGTCAGGTCTCGCAGCACGCCCAGCGCTCCCAGCGCAGCATGCAGTTGGAGCTGTTCAGGGCCCAGCAGGAGAAGAACCGCCTGCAGGAGGAGCTCGACGGCCTGAAGCGGGACGTGAGCCGGGACGCCACGGCCGCGCCAAAGGCGACCAGTCCGACTCTGGAGGAGACGCGGTGGGAGGTGAGAAGAGTTCAGGCGAAAGGAGCGACGCTTTGGGGTGGGGGGAGGATATGTCTAGGGTGCATGCCACACTTTTCAGATTTTTTTTTTCTTTTTTTTTTGTGGTGAAAAAACTTTTGAAAATCATGCATCTTTTCAATACTTTGCACTGGAATGCAATATATAGCACAAAATGTATTTTTTAAACTAGTTTCTAGTTCAAATATCTTAGTATTCTTGAAATAAGACAAACTAATTTTTCAGCAAGCTTGTTTTAAATCAGTAATACCTTAACACTGATGAAAAAGTAAAATAATCTGCCAGTGGAACATGACATTTTTCCCATGTCATAAGCTAAAATGTCTTGTTCCGCTATTTAAGTTACAACTGGTACTTTTTCCATCAATATTAAGGAGTAATTGACTTAAAATAAGCTTAGTTAGTCTTGTCTTTTTTTCTAAGTGTACTAAAGTATTTGCACTAGAAACTTAGGCCAAAAATACTTAGTAAGATTGTGTGGTTTTGCAGTGCAACTCTGAATCTTTCTCTCTTTTTTTTCTTTTTTTTCTAAAAAAACAAAAAAGAAATGTCAAAATCCTATAGAGTTTTCAACAATGATTTTATTTGTCATGTTGTTGTCTTTCTCAGGTTTGTCAGAAGTCAGGGGAGATCTCGTTGCTGAAGCAGCAGGTGAGGGACTCCCAGGCAGAAGTGACTCAGAAGCTGAGCGAGATCTTCAAGCTGAAGACACAGCTGAGGGAAACCCGGACGGAGCTGCGCAACAGGGAGGCTCAGATAGACGCTCTGAACATCATCCTGCAGGGGACGCAGCGCGGCAGGTGTTCCTCCGCCGGAGAAAGCAGAAAAGGAGCCGAAGAGACTCCATCAGCGGGTATCTGTGGCTTCGTGTTTCCAATTTTAGATCCAAAATCGGGTTATAGCTGTGTAACCAGGTCAGGAGTACAGAGCTGTGAGCATTTACCAGAAGCTGGTGTCTTTCGTAATCTTCCATTCATGTTTTTTTTTTTTTTTTTGGGACTCCAGCTGAATCCACGTGAACTTTTTCTTTCGCAGGCAGCTCTGGGGGTCCCACAGAAGAGCGTCTGCGAGCGGAGCTGCTGCTGGAGCGACGTCAGAGCGAGGCCCAGGCCACGGCCTTCGAGGAGGAGAGGAACACGTGGCAGACGGAGAAAGACAAGGTCATCCGCTACCAGAAGGAGCTGCAGGCCAGCTACTTGGAGATGTATCACCGCAACGAAGCCCTGGAGAGGGAGCTGCAGCAGCTGAGGGCGGGCGGGGCGCGGGAAGGAAGGGGAGGCAGCGCAGGAGGAGGAGGAGGAGGAGAAGGAGGAGGCAACAGAGAGGGGACAACTGAGAAGGAGGCGAAGGAGCCGACAGCTGACAGAGCAGCAGGAAAACAAGAAGACACGCCTTCCTCGAGTCTGCCGTGGATAGACAGGATTGAATCGTCTGAAATTTGAATGTGACACACTTGTTTGCAATGCAAACTGTTTTCTCCGAAAGCATGGACCTACGTAAGAGCAAGTCTGCCTGGGAAAAAAAATAAAAAATGAGACACAAAATACACAAACTTAGAGATTATTTAAAAAAAAAATTATTTACCAAATCAAAATCCTACACAACTTACTAAATCTCTGAAAAGGATGACAGGATGTGCTGCTGGATTAGTTGTGGTACCAAGTAATCAAGATTAAAAAAATATAAAGTCAGAAGTAGTAGACCTAAAAAAAAAAAAAAAAGTTGACATAAATAATAATAATAAACTGTGCTAAACCTTTGACCCTCATTGGAGCCACTTTTTTAAAAAAAAGTACAAATTATGTGTCGATTTACCTAAACGAAGCTTGTAAATTGTGAAATTTGGGAATGAAAAAAAATCTTAAAACAAAAACAGCTCAGTCAGAACAAAGAAAAAAAAAACATGTCAATGTGAAACTTTTGACTGACAATCTTGAAATGGGAACCTATTATATAATTTCTCATGTGTTTTTGTGGTACAACAAAAGAGCTTCATAGATTCCCATCTGACCCCCCGCACTGCTTCTGCACCTTGATTGTATTATATTGCCCTTTTCCTGTAAGAGTCCAGGAACGATCACATCCTTCTGGACGTTTTCACGCCGACGCTCGTCTGTTGTGCCACGTTTATCCTCAGCAGAATAACTGCAGACTGTAAAAGCACTGCCTGAGACTCGTTCAAAATGATCTTATTGGTGACGATAACCAAAGCATTCAAATAGTGACCCAACAAGCAACTAGCTGTTGACTGGAATCAGCTTCACTGGCTGGTTGGAAACTAGATAGTTCACTCTTTGCTGTGGATGTTGTTACTGAGTGAAGAAGGTTTATAGTTGACTACTTTTAGGATCAAAATCGTTTAATAAAGGAGCATTTTTGCTGCTCCTACTTCTGCAGCTTTTGTTGCTTTACACCCAACTTTTCAGAAAGGAAAAGGAGCCCATCTGCCACGTTAGGTTATTCCCACCATGGGAACGTTTTTGTTCAACTCACAGAGGAGACAGTTGACCATAAGCACATCTTCACCAGATACCATGAAGGCTGAATATGTTGCTTTAGAAAACTTGGCTGCCTTTAAAAACCTCAGAATGAAGTAGGCGTGTGTGCATTCTCTAGGGTTTTTTAAACTGTGGCTTTATTTAGATGAACTCAAGAAATCCCCAGCCTACTCATCTGCAAACAACAAATACATGAATGAATTACATGACAGTGATGTAGAGCTAGTTGGAACCTTTTTTGTTTTTTTCAAGCACACCGATCTCTGGCCTGGACACAGTGGAGAAAACCATTACAAAAGTCCAACTGTGCAACGTGTGCGAGAGAGTTGTCATGGGTTAATAAGCATGTTGTTACTATGGATATCAATAGGTTTATATTCAAGGCAACCATGTTGGATTTTGAGGTCAGAGTTGGTGAGAAACTTTTCTGTAAGTTTTCCAAATACGGGGTTGAAAATCTAAAATTTCCAAAAGCAGAATAACTTGCATGAATCCTTCAAAGGGTTCTAATGCATTAGACTGGGTTTTATTGCTTTGTATTTATGACACAACAAACTGGTAAAGTGAAAGTCCAGATTAAAGATGGTAAAGCCAATGATTAAATTACTAAAAACCCAGGCAGAAGGACTTTACCTGCTGGTATAAATTAGGGTCGCTTACGGCAGGAAGGCACGGAAGAAATATTTTCAACGCCAATTCAGTTATGGCTCTTCACATAAGCTGAAACAGTCAAATTTTTAGTTGCGGTCAAAGGTTTGCAAAACCCAGAGAACGGAAATTGGACACGAAACTCTCATGGGCGCATCTCCACTTATGATTCTGGGGCCTGATTAATGTTTGCAGAAACGTCACTGCACTCGTCTTTCAGCTGAGTTCATGTAAAAACGCTGCTTTTCTGGTTATGGTGCAGATCACCCCCCCCCCCCCACAAATATCCGTCTGGTGCACATCTCTTGAACATATTTCAACCTCGTTGGGTCTCCTTTCAGGTGAGGCACACAAATTTTGTACATACCTGCACTTTCAGTTCGATTCACCTTCTGTAGTTGTACTCCAAAGAGACTGTTGTCTTAAAACTGTGAAATCTGTCAACTTCCACATTGTTTGATTGCAGTAAAAAGCAACCGCTAGCTGTAAATAAAGGCTAAATTAGTCCTCCCAAGTGCATGACTGAAGTAAAAAAAAAAAAAAAAAAGTTGTATTCTTTCTTAACTATAAATAATCACAAGCCAGCTCTCTGTTAATCTTTGAATATACTGTGACTTGTCAAATTACTGGAATTAAAACTGTACAGAATAAACAAATCTTTGTTTTGCATTCATTCTGGTTAAAGAATCAAGGGCCTCCAATTCTATAGAGTATCTTTGGTATTTTAGATTAATTCAAGTTTTAAGACGCCAAATCTTGGATAATTTCTTCTCGCGTAGCATCTTTTGGTAGAAAGAGGTGGAAGGTCAGCTGAAACGGAAATCCCATGCAAATTAAGAGCCTAACGCCACAAAAATCATGCGAGAAACAACGGTTTTAAGGCTTTATTCCTAATCCAAATGTGTTGTGGATAGCACAAGAAATAAAAAATAGCACAAGAGAGCATGGGCGAGTTGGTAATGCAGGTTTGTTTTATGCAGGGTCGTAATCTGAACAGATACAAGCTCCGCTGACTCACGTGGCCCTTAGCCCGGCATTTAAAGCATTATATAAACTGGGGATTATTATAACTGCACAGCTCCAGAGAGGCTGAGTGATTTACTGAAGTGGGATGAGAAAAGACTCTTATCTCGCATGTTTTCCACTCTGTGGGAGTGTTGCTGTGCTGGACTCCGTCGCTGCTGTTTATCCAAAAACTTAAAATGATGGTCAAATCTGTGGGAATATTTCTCATCAGTAAAAACGTAGTTCTGCTCCGGCTGACGGTCCAAAAATTCTCAAATTTCAAGACAGTTTTTTTTTTTTTTTTAGCTAGATGTGAAAATGCAGCACCAGCGCCACCGAGTGGCGATAAAAGACAAATGAATGTTTATGGTATTTCACCGCAGAAGCAGTCCTACAAAACTGACTGGAGTATATTTTTTTATTATTATTATTTTTGAATATCAGATGCAAATATATGAAACATGTTAGCGGATAAATATGTACAGTAAAAGTTGCATAAGACACAAAAGCAGGAAATGCAAAAACATTTAGCAAAAAAAAATTAGAGGATAAGGAGTACACAACACGCTCGCATTCTATCCGGAGGGAGACTGAGAGAAGCGGTGAACGACTGTCAACCAAGTGAGGGAATAAAATAAAATAAAAAAACAGGATATAAAGTCGTTTCTGAAACGGAGATTAACGGTGCACCATCGGTGTGGGGTGGGGTTGGGTTGGGTAGGGGGAAGCGATGCTGGTGCATTAGTTTGCTGAAGAAACTTGCCTCACGGGAACGTGAGGTGACATCACCATACATGTCCGGGGAACCTGCGTCAGCTCTGCACACACTGTGCTGAGCATCCAGCTGCCTTCACGCCTCCTCCAAGTTCAACCTGACGCATGAAACACAGAGTATGTACAAACTCCAGGAACTCCCACAGCCAAACCATTAGCTTCGACTGTGTCAAATGTAATACATGACTCCTTATATAAATGCACTTTTTTTTTTTTTTTTTAAATACTAAATGTAAAGTGTGGTATGAGTTACTAACATGAACCCTGAGGAACTGTGAAGATCTTACTGCCACTTTCCTGACTCAAACAGAGGCATTCTTGAGTATATATATGTATATATTTATATATGAAACAACTGCCACAATGACCAGAAGACTTACCCACCCACCACAAGTAAAACTTCACAAGCCCACAGTCACTGCAAGTCATACTATAAGGCTACCATCACACCAATTTACATCTCCAAATCACATGGCGTGCTAGCTTAGGATACACAGACTGAAGCGATGGCACGAGTGGAGTAGGCTTTTGAGTCACTATCATCTTTAACGTCGCGCAATCGTGCCGATTAAGTGTGTCGCTGTGCAAGGTAACTACTTCATATGAGGTGGTGGTGAAGGAAAATAGGAGCAGAACACATTTCACAGTAGTACACTGTATATTTTTTGTTTGCTTTTTTGTCACTTTTGTTAAATACACACACAGGACAAGACAAATGGCTTCTAGAATGAGGGAAAAAATCTTGCTGGTGCAGTCAGTCACAGAAGGAAACAAAAACAGAACAAGAAAAAAGAAAAAGAAAGCTGTTCCAACCGCTGAGGAATTTGTCGTTTTTACTCATCAATCAGCAGTGGCTTTCAAGCCTTTAGTACAACATGGAGGAGCCACAATCGAGAGTTCAATTAAAGGGAGATCGCCACACTTGTACTCCCCCTTAACCAGGAGGTTGTCAGCGTTCAGTGGAGTTTGCTACTCTGTGGGTTATCTCTTAAGTAATACAAGCTTATCACCGTCCTGAAAGCAGACTCTGCCTACCTATACCATTTACTCCAAACACTAAACAAATTTATAATTATCCCTCTGCTTTCAAATAAAAAGAAAAGAAAAAAAAAACTCGTTCAACCCAAAAGTCAAAAAAGCAAAGAAAAAAAAAATTAAACAACAGAAAGTAATACATATGATAAGCCTATTACTCTGCAGGCATTTGTAAATGAATTTCTATGATCTTTTCGGAGGCTCTTCTTCATGAAGACGACCCGATCGACTCTTCACTCTACTACAAGCTTTCGTTCAACCAACCGTGCAGGACTTGAATGCTATGCAAAGTCGGAGGGTCCGAGTTGGGTTACGGGACTGCCGAGGCCGTCCGGAGGAGCACTGGGGTAAAACACCTTAATGCTTTTACAATAAACAGGCCGAGAGGCCAGGGATAGACGACAGGGGCCAGAGCAAAGGGTCCTGGACATTCAGAGAGCTCCAGGTAACTTCATCCTTGACGAGGAGAGTGTATGGTATCAAAAGTAGATCTGCTTGGCATGTGACGGGTTCTGCTCCATGGGGCAGTAAGGGCATTTCAACCTGCAGGGCGAGAACAGCAGCATGTTTAATTAGCAACGCTCAGTGATCAACTTCATCTTTTCAAGCAAGTCAGAGTGCGCTGCAGAAATGTTTCACATCCCAGTGAACTTTCAGACATTTTGACTCATTACAAACTCTGGATTCATTGCATACTAATGAAATTGTCCACTATACACCAACTCAAAGTAGCGCATAATTGTGAGGTAGAAAGATAAAGTTACAGCAATTCTCAGGTCAACTTAAAAAGTAAACGTGGTCAAGTTGTGGTCTCAGCATGAAAGCAACTGTTTTCATGCTGAGAATAGATGTTTGGTGGAAATATTAATGAACAAACAGCATCATGAAGAACACAGCAAAAAGGTCAGGGTTAAAGGGTTTAAAGCAAGTTTATGTGATAAAATAATTTCTAAAGCTTTGAACATCCAACCAAAGGGTCGTTCAACAAATCATCTGAAAATGGAAACTCTGGACAGAGTCGTCCATCTAAACTGACTGAGTGAGAAAGCAGAGCGTTAAAATAAATCAGCAAAGACTCCATGATGCCCACCTTAGCTGTCGGAGGGGTTAGAAAGGATAAACTCGGAAAAATGTGGACTTTATGGAAGAACGATAAAAGGAAAGCTTGTGTTAAGAGAAGGTCGGAGCAACAAAACCCAACAAGAGTCTGCAAAAGTCTTGAAACGGTGGCAAGAACTCACCTTCCAGCAAGTCAACATTAAACCACTATGGAATGATTTAGGTCAAATCACTTCTATATAGAGAAATTCAGCCAATTTCCAGACCTAAATACAATCTGAATAAGCTTCAGCTATTTGACAAAGGAGTTTGTTAGCATGTAAAGCTGGTAAAGAGAAACACTTGAAGCAAAGAGTTATTCTGCAAAGTTCTGATTAACGACAGCAGAATCTGTTTTTGAATAAAGAACTACTAAACATATTTCTTCTAATTACGTTGTTTTGGTCTATTCCAAGAAATTAAATACATTAAAGGCTGACGCTGCAAAGCGAGAAAACGTGGAACAAGCCAAAGTGGTTCAACGCTTCATTTCGACTCACTTCCCAGCATTGGTGAGTTTGTTGAGTGCATCTCTGGAGATGACATGGCCACAGATGAGCTTCATAGGGGGATTGCTCTCCGAGGT